ATTACATATATTATTATAATTGAAGTTCTACATAAGACATGGGATTGGATACATTTATAATTTTAATTGAATGGATAATTCCTATGGTTTATATTTATTATTATATTGAAGTTCTACATGAATCAAATCGACTACATTCATAATTGCTATTACATTGAAATGATTCGCCAAAATTCACATCGATTACATATATTATTATAATTGAAGTTCTACGTGAGACATCAGTTTGGATACATTTATAATTTTAATTGTATGGATAGTTCATATGGTTTACATTTATTATTATATTGAAGTTCTACATGAATCAAATCGACTACATTTATAATTGTTATTACATTGAATTGATTCGTCAAAATTCACATCGATTACATTTATTATTATAATTGAAGTTCTACGTGAGACATGAGATTGGATACATTTATAATTTTAATTGTATGGATAATTCATATTGATTACATTGAAGTTCTACGTGAGACAAATGGGCTACATTTATAATCGAAAAAGATCGGATAAAATTTATATCGATTATACGAAGCAATACTGCCTATGAATCAACGGAATTTACTTACGTTTTTTAGACAGTGGTTTTGTATTTGACTTGTCCCTAAGGGTGTAGAAGCTGTTGTAGTTTTGGTTGGAGTATTGATAGTAGGCCTGTCCTGAAGATGACGGGGCTGGTCTTGTTTCGAGTCTCACTTCGGGAGTAAATTCAACTCTTTTGCCACGAGCATTTCGTTTACGACGTGTGACTAGAGTAAACCCATCTGAAGTGCCTTCACCAGCATCTTCATCTATTTCAGGATTCTCTTGGGCCCTCTCTTCGGCCTCTTTCTCGCGTGTCTCTTTATCCTTAAAGATAGGAGTGAATTCCTCGAGATCGGTCTCAGTGGTCGAACTCGCCGCAACTTCGGCCATCTCTTCGTCTTTCTTTAAATCCTGCTGTAAAAATTATGATTTTCAAATAATTTTAAAACTTAACAATTGTCACTGGAATTTGTCGAATTTTGAAGAAATTGGAGTCAAAATTCCTTTTAAACCTGAAATAACTTATTTACAACCAATATATTTAATTGATTACACAAAACAAGGTATTACATTAGTGTATAGAACGCTAACCGCACAAACAATAGGATAGGAAAGGTGTAAACAAACGAATCAAACCAATAAACGTCATATTTACGAGTTAATATTTGATAAAAAAATTATCTACTCTGTCCTATACTGCTTATTTACATATTTCTATCGATTATTTGAATTATTTCAATATATTCTAATTACATACTTTAAACCATAACTTTCCACTGTTGTATATTCTAGTAAATATTATTTACAAGCAATAAACTGTAGAAACTGTAGATTTGAGACCTGGACACTTAATTTCTTTTCCTTTAAAGAATCATGGGCTTTTTACAAACACTAATCGTGCAATAAAATAATGTTTCAGGCTAATTCCAAACTCGCAACGGTTGGAAAATTGCAAATTAATGTGTTATTTATTTAACCTCCACCCAAAGCACACTTACCAATACATTCCCAGATTACTAAATGGCTAAAAATAATTATACAAACTAATATGATGGTAAAACGCATTAGATAACCCTAAATATAAGCGACTACAGACTTCAACCAGCACCCAGATCAACAAACAAACACTTTTATATAGTAATTAAGTATTATTTAGGTAATTGTGATATATAAACAAAGTTAAATTCTATAAAGCTACTGTAATTATGTTAGTAAAAGGCGTGGATGGTTTTTAAAACTATTTTTGTTAGTCTCAAGCGATGCTATTGTAGTTTCTGATTATTTACCTCGACTTTCATACACTTCAGATATCTGAGGTAAGGTGAACAGAATCGATACTCGCTTCTTCCTGTGGGATTAGATGTCTAAAAAAAAACTCAAAATTAATACTGGTTTTTGTAAAGATAATAAATAAATATATAACAAAGGGAAATAAAGAGAGTTAGAGATAAATAAATCTATAATTTAGGCCAAATATAACAAATAAATGGGATATAATTCACACTAAAACATAATTTAAGAAACATTTCAGCAGTACATATTAAAAAAAGGGGATGATTTTAAAATAGAATTTGTATGAAATTTAAAGATACTTGAGTATGTAGTTTGATTTTGTAAAAAATATATATTTAATGAATGTTTACAAACATTTTATTCTTCTAGTTTTATGTCACTTACTTTGGTATTGCTCGCATTTAATTCGATTGGAATCCCCGCTTCTTCCGGAACAAGATCTTCTGTCTCATAACTGCAAAAAATACATAAATAACTAACTGTTGCTCGCGACTTCGCTCGCGTGAAATTAAAAAAATACAGTAGAATTTCGTTAAGTTCAAGGGAAACACAAAATATTTTAATTTATAGAGGTTTTGAGTTATCAAGGGTCTATTTTGTAGAGGTTTTGGGCTCTGATGGAAGGGAACATATTATTTTTTGAAGTTATAGGGGTTTTTAAGTTATCGAGGTTCTCCTGTTATAGTATTGCCCATGTTACAGATAAATTACAATTCTAATGGTGAAAGAATTTTTAAGGCCGGAATTTTAATCGGCCAAGTAGGTTTTTGCGTGAATCAAATACATACAAAAATACAAATCTATCCTCTTTATAATTATTTCATACAGACGAAGTCACAAAAGCTAGTAAAAGGAGTCTAACAAAAATAAAGTATTGAATTTACGAAATTAGGATTCTTAATTTTATTATCCTATTTGTGTTAATGAAAAAAGCCGAATTATAGTCATTTTTAACGCATTTAACGAACTACTAAATAGTAAATTTTACTATACCTTTCGCTAGTATTCGGTATATCAAGCATGTGGCTTGTAAATTGTCTGAAAGTCCTCCAACCATATGGCAGGATACGCGGTGATAAATTGTTCAGGCACTGAAAAACATTAATTATATACACTGAAACATGTATAAAAACATAGCTATTTCCGTAAATATCCGTTAAAATTAAAAAAAAAAATGTAATACAAATTACAATTTTTTTTTCAAACTTTTAATCAAATGACGAAGGCTTTTGATATTCGCTAACAATTTTCAGAAATCTTGCTTCTTGAATTGGTTTATAACTTTTGTCCCTTTCTCGCATAACGATTTTATCAATTTATTTACCCCCTATGTTTAATAGCGTGAAAATATATAACCCAAAGCGTCTAGTATAAAGTTTTATATTAAATAACCAAAAAATTACTGTGATTGCTGATATCTTATATAACAAAGTGTTTTACGCTTTATTATATTAGTATACCTAGATATTTACTAGTTAAACTGCAAGGAAAATAACAGTAGTCATACTAATGGATGGATGGATGTTTGTTAGAGTTTGTATCCTAAACGGCTGAACGGATCTCGATGATATTTGGCATAGACATAGAGGATACTCTAGAACAACACATAGGCCATTTATTTTTATTAATACCTCGCGAACGAAGTCGCGGGTGGAAGCTAGAACTACTATAAATAGTAGTATTATAAATTCACTTACGTCGTTTATGATGTCAAGAACTTTAGCAAGATTCCGCAGCAGCGGTTTCTTAGCTGAAGCGCATATTTCACGCATCTTTTTCATGTCATTGGGGAGTTCATCCGCCAGTGCCAGCATCATCATATTTGGCAACAAATATCTAATAAAAAAAAATACCATAAATGTATGCCATCCATATTATTTTTTAAACAATAAGGTGGGAAACGAGCAAGTAATAATCCGCCGAAATGGCGAAGCCGCTGCAGATAGACATCCGCAATTGTAGATAGATTGCCTACCCTAAACCAACGGAGGAGACGCACATAAAGAGGATATTTTCCCTTCCTATGCGTCTCTTCCACCGTCAAATCCACTTTTCCATTAAATCCTTTCCCTATAAGAGGGGTACAACAGGAAAGATTAAAGTTGGGCCTCCAGCACACTCATCAGACTGTACACGGAATTGGTCCTTCACTTCACTTCTGTCTTCTGTGTGGTCGTGGTATAACAAGGGGGGAGTTGCCACTATAGTGCTAAAATGTTAAAGCGGGCTCTACATTTCTTCATAGAAGATATTTCGTAAACTGAACGGATCTAGAAGTTTGTCACAGACAAAAACATGGTCTTATTTATTTTATTATGCAAAAACTCAATATTTTTCAGATATAATTTATCAAATACTTTATACATTAATTGTTTTACAAGGCTTGTATTTTAATTAGTCTCCGGAAATCTGAAAGAAAACCTACGATACTTGCTTTTGTTTGCTTGAAGTAGCCTAAATGATTGCATAGATTTTGATGAAATTTGGAAGAACATAGGCAATTTTTTTTTTTTAATTCCTATTGGACGGAGACTCGGGCTGAAGCTTTTATAAAAAACACATATACTGAAATGACGGTTATACTTACGCAGGACTTTCATCCAGTTCTTTGGCGTATTCATCACGCCATTTGTACAGCTTTTTGAGTACAGCGAAGTTGTATGGTTTAAAATCATAACCTTTGTTGCACCGATGGTACAACATCACATGACTCTTGTTAGTCACCACACGCTTTTTGTACGTCTGAAAATTACAACCATCATACTTACATTATAAATGCAAAAGTTTAGTTACGTAGATTAATAGTTTTAGTAAAAAAATGCTAAATTACTTAACGGATCGTTATGTAATTTTCCATTACCATAATATATTAACTTAATGTTGGCAGCTAGTAGTTTATGGTCTCTTTCCCATATGAAGGTTTTTCCAATTTATTAACCCCCTAATAGCGTGAAAATATATAGCCAAAAGCGTATCGTAAGCGTAAGTGTAAGGATTTTAGATTTTAGATTTTATTAAAGAAAGAATTATTCAAATTTATACTATGATTGCTGCCTACTCCATAAAGTAGTATGTTTACGCTTTTTTACATTTGCATAGATTTAATTAAACAAAGTGAACAGACTAGTTAAGATTCGTTTCAGATTTCAGCTGGATTTTGAAGAATTATTATTATTTTCAATGCTGTTAAGTTGAAACTCACCGCCAAGCAGGTTTCTTTACTCGCAGCGAAGACTTCCAGCAAGTGGGTCTTCTCCCCTTTGCCCTTTTCCAACAGCTCATTCTTCATCCGTTTCCAGATGTATAGTAAATAATGAGTATCAGTTCTCGCGTATTTCAGCATAGCGTACGACAGCGGTCTCACACGCCAATCAGCACATTGATATCTAAAACATTAGAATAAATTAACATTTGCATATAACTGGTTACCGCGACTCCGTTTGCCTGGAATTAAAAAAAACAAAAGCAACCTTATTCTTCCTATTTATATGAATTTTTAAGGCGATCCGTTAAGCTTTAGGCTACTTACTCTAACATCCATTTATTTAAATTTTCGCATTTATAATATTAGTAAGTCTAGCTGTTCCCGTACTACCCGCATCAAATTATAAATAAAATTCGTATATCTTTCATTTGAAAATGTTTAAATTCAAATGTTTAAAGGTTTTTGCCATTGGCTTCAACAGACTTTGTAGCTTTGTCCCTTTAATTTTTTTTAATTTATTTACCCCATTCAATCGAAAAAATAAATAACATATTTATTTTTGTTTTATTTTGATTTAGTATTGTACGTGTAAATATAAATCTTCATTAACTTACTTCTTGTTGACAGTCAAATCGCAGTAGTGCTGCAACAGTGCTTTTAAGGACCTGCTTTTATGTTCTAGAACTTTCGCAGCTTGGTAGGTGTCAAATAAGCCAACAATGTATACACCGAAGTCCCTCTGCAACCACAAAACATCCATACCTGCGCCATGCAGAATCTACAAACACATATGAAAATAAAAAATTAAACAGAGAAATTAAAAAAATGCTTAGATAACTAACTTGTAAAACTATTTTTAACATCAATTCATACGTCTTATATCAAACTATTTGGCATAGTTATGTAAGACACTGGCTTTAAAAACACGAAAAATATGTAAGTAATTGTTATAGATTATAACCAATTAAAATAAAATTTATTAGATAAATAAAATAGATTTTCCCATCTACTTTTAACCAATCGTTAATGTTTTTTTGGTTCGATAATTTTACCAGAACCAGTTTTTCAGTACCATACCATAGTAGCGTCGCAACACTAAATCATTCATATACGTCACATCCCTAACTGACAGCTGTCAAATGTCTAGACCAGTGATTCTCAACCTTTTTTTTGTTGCGGCACAAATTTAGCGATTTCAAAATTCGGCGGCACACAAAGGAAAAGATAAAAATAATTTACTTACTACGACACACTGTATAAATAATTTGACAAAAATATGCAAAATTTGGCGGCACACTTTTGAAATTTGGAGGCACACAAAAGAGCCGCGGCACATCGGTTGAGAACCACTGGTCTAGACGTAACGAAAAACTAACTAGAGTTTAACTCCTTTGAATTTGAGCCGAACACTAATGAATCAATAGGAAATAATGTAAATAGAAACAGTAACATAGCATAAGTAAAATAAATTTAACTATAACTATCAATAGAATAAATAATTACCTTAAGCTTTTTGGGATCAGTAAATGAATAGTTTAGCTTGTATAAGTACGGCCACAGCATAATAGCGTCGATGACGTAATCACCCATGTACGTAGTGATTTGAATCAGGCATGTTAAACCTGAAATAATCAAACATCTTCATATATGTATTCGCAGTACAATAACAAATATAAAAGTTGATAGTAACCAATATTAAATTTAAATTTTTATCATCTATTCAGTTATAGATCCATTCCAGATATGTATTAGTACAAAAATACTAGATTATAATTGTTAACTTTCTTACAATAGCAAATAAGTTTTTTTGTACGCTGCGCCAAAAGCCTAATGGTTAAGAGTATGGTTCATATCCTATTGTAATATACAAAAATAATAGTCAACAAAATTCTATTAATAAAAATAATTTGCTATGCTCAGGATGCTTTACAATTAGAATGCATTGCAAACTTTCGCATTTATAATAAAAGTAAGAAGTAAGATTGCAAAGGCAGGACACATTATAAATACAATCACCAACATTCTTTTTAAAAATAAACTCCAGTATGCAGTAAATACTGTTATATTGAACCATTAATTTATTTATAGATAATGCGTTTTACTTCTTGTTGTTATAGAAGTAAACAAGATCACAAGCAGATAACTGATGTTATTCTGTACTAATCAGTTTTTTCCAAGTATATATCCCTTCAAGAGAAGAGTATAATGTTTAAGACAAAGAAGCATAAGTCCATAAACAGAATTGATAAAATTCATATGAAGTCGATTAACAAAACTTGTCTACCTATTAAAAGGTTTTCATTAAGTTTTCATGGTTTTTAACACAAAAATGGTTGGTAGGAAATAATAACATTTCTGTCGCAAGTTTGGTACATATTCAAAATGCAATGCAATGGCAACACAGTACAAAAAAGTAAATACTTTTTAAATGTCAGCACCAGCAATAAATTATTTATAATAAAAAAAGATTTCAGCCAAGCAATTAACCTAAAGGAATAAACACTTTTATATATTTACAGGTAAAATCTAATTTCTCACAAATCAATAAGTATACAGTTGTCAGTTAAATTTAGTAAAGTAAGTGCTGTAGTTTCCTTTTACAATTAGAAGTAGAAACTGGAAAAACAATAGATTAATCAATCCCTTATTTGACTTACTATTAGTTAATTACAATTAACCATAACATTTATAAGACATTGTTTTCATTAAAATAACATTGGGACTGATCCCATTACCTCTTTCACCAAATCTTAACCATTAGGCTGTTAGCGCTGCAAGTAATAACTAGCATGAAATAAGCTTTCGCTTGCGACTCCGTCCGCGCGGAATTAAAAAAAACAAATGCAAGTAGCCTATGTGTTCTTCCAGACTATCCTTTGCATCTATGCCAATTTCATTGAAATTTGTTCAATCATTTAGGCTATAAACTCTAAAAAACATCTATCCATCTAAACTTTCGCATTTATAATAGTATGATTATGGAAATTATTAGAACGTAATTACCTGTATAGGACCTGTGGCTATGATGTTCAACATCAACTGCGAATTCATCGACTTCACGTAAATGACGCACAAGTGCTTCAAGTTTTCCCAATGTGTTAACAAATCTAAAATTTGTGTTCTTCAACGGAGCGGGAAATGTTATCGGCTCACGTGCGGGGTCAGTCCATGGAGTCGCATCATACATATCTAATTCAAATTTATATGGATGCTCATATCTTAAAAAAAAAACGTAATTAATTGAATTTTTGTTTTGTTAAAGTCTGTCATGTAGATAATAAACTTTATAAAGACTAGTAGTCAAAATATGATTTTATTTATATTTAATAAATAACTTCATATATAAAACTAATTTGGTTTTAACCGCACCTTCAGTTCAAACAAATTTCATACAACAAAACTTAATCATTCAGAGTACAGATGTATACCCAACTTGTTAAAGAATGGCTCTCCAGTGTAAATTAAAACAACCAGAATATAGTTACGGATTGAAAATATTATTGACTGCTCACACTCTTTTCTTTTATTGTACTACCAATTTACTCCGAAGTACACATGTGTGATGACATGCTTGTGCAAAGTATCAAAATCATTTTAGAATCAATTATAAGGATTGGTTGTTAAATAACTAATTAGATACTGAAATACTCACTCAATAGCTGTCCCATGTCCATTATAAATCGGCACAAATTTTAGATCTACAAGACTGTTCGGTTTTTCACGTATTATTGGGAGCCAAATATTAGGACTCATAAACCCTGGTTGAATTGGGACGATCGGTATCTACGACAATAATTATAATCACAGCATATATAATATTACCTTAGAATGAATGTCGAATTAAAAAAAAATGGTCGTCTATAACATTCTCGCTTGCATATATTTTTTACCAGCCACCTTCCAGTCAAAGTCCCATCCAAATATGTCCACCCGTTAAAGAGATAGCTGTCCCGTTGCCATTTTGACATTGCGGAGTTTAAAAAAAAGGAGCCTATAATATCCCCGTCCATGTCAGCTACCCGACAATAAAAGTCTGGTCGAAATCGACCAACCCTTTCGGAGATTACCCGGAATTAACGCGGCTTGAGGACAGTCAGACAGACAGACAAAAAAAATGCGATTTTCTTTATCAGCAATGCAAATACACCATCTTCGAGAAATCTGGAATTCTTCCTTAGATATTACAGACACTCCGATATTATTATATGTATAGATAGATATAGAAGACATTATTAGTATGCACATATATGTTATTATTATTATTTTGGGTGACACACTAGCAGCCAGTTAGCTGATGCGTGTGTGTGTGATGTCTCAAGTATTTAAAACTTATTTATTATTTATAACAATAAAGTATTTCAAACTATATTGCATTACAATATAAACTCTTAACTATAAAGTCCCATTACATTAAAACTTGTAAAATAATTAGCATGATTGGTATTTGATGTCTGTTTGTTAACTTAGATGTTGGTATGAAAATAATGGATTTTACATTAAATTTTATACAACATACCGAATCCACATTTGGAAGTAATGGTGCACTCTCCACTTGCTCGCTCAAGGGGTCTTCGGGTGGCGGAATGTTCTGATCTTTTCTTGCAGATTTTAACACTGCCATATTGCACAACGACTCAAAGTTACTGTTAAATCTCTCCAAAATATTATTACTCGATAGAGCTAATTGATCTTCATAACTTGACTCTCCTCCTCTGTGAAAATATAACTATTTATCATAGATAGATCTTACAATCACTATATACATATTTTAAGGTTTTAAATAATTTTATATTATAACAATAAATTAAATTACAATGAAACTGTTTAATTTGTGGCTTAATGTATAATATACTATGCTTCGCCCGCGACTCCATCCTCGTAAAATTGAAAAATAAACAAAAGTGAATAGCCTATGTGTTCTTCCAGACTGTCCTCTAAATCTATGCCAAATTTCATCAGCCATTTAAGCTACAAACTCAAACATCCATCCATCTATCTAAGCTATTATAATATTAATAAGCTTTTTTAAATATCAATAAATTGAATATAGCGCAAAATTAACATGTCAAAAAATTTACTTACTGTTCAGTATCTACTTTAGGTATCTCCGCTGCTATAATTTCTTTTATTTGTGTGGTAACATATCCACTTAAGTCTGAAGTAAGTGCCTTAAACGCAGGATTTTTGTTTAGTGGATCGAATTTTCCACCAGCTGTGAACAGCTTTGATGATTTCACTATTTGTTTGATAAGTAGATAGCCATCCTATAACAAATACATATACAATGTTTATAAAAAATTCACATAACTAATCCTGCATACAAATAGGGATGAACTATTGCCATGTTTTTGAAGACTAATTAATATTCAACTATGATACTTGTCCAACATTATATCTCTGATAATAAACATAAATGAAATTATTTTCTTAAAAATGTTAAACTTGTTTATCGAGCCATGTATTTATACTAAAGTAAGAAGTGATGACTAAGATGACGGACAATAGAGTTATTTGGTCGACAAAACGACGGAGTACGATAAGGCAGGGGAGATGATGATGATGTATTTAAACTAAACCTTGTAATTTTAAAATAAATAGATTAAAAAATGGCAGAAAATGCTTGTTGCATCAAAAAGAATGTTTAATTTCCTTTTTGCAATAACTATTTAGTAAATGTTTAGGATTTTGTAAATATCACATATTACAACCATATTTACGCCTCCCAATGAACCATGTTTCATTTATTTCAGTTGTCGCACAACCACTTTTAGCGAACTACCCGATACTATTGAATTGTAAAGTAAAATCAGTTTATAAAGATCTCTTGTAAGAAAGTAAACAAAATAATTAATGCTAAAATTAATGCACACTTTCACTTATCTTTTTTATTATTAACAAGAACAGACAACAACAAAGTGATTATAGAATAATTTATTGTTCTGCGCCTTAATGTTGTTATTGTATTTCAATAAATTATTACAATGTTATTGTAATTATGTGATTATATAAATTAATATCCGACATCAATTACACAGTTTGATTAACTTTTACTAAAAATAAATTAAAAGTTTATTGTTCAAAATATTTGTGGTTTAAAAACATTTTAATTCTAAGTGTGGTTGTTAGTTGTACATTCAAAACGTCAGCCCTCTTTCTGCATCCCTTAATACCTAACAACACCTACATATAACATTAAGTGTGCAGCAATGAATCCAATATTCCGAATTAGAGACATTTGAAAATTACAAAAAAAAGGTTGGTTATTACTACACAAATGTAGCCTTCAAAATTAATGTAAGCATTTATAATTATGTATTACTTAAAGAGATATTTATATTAATATAGTTGCAGCCTTGTGCGACTTAGACCAAAAAGGTACCACACAGATGAACATGATAAATCCAGGTAATACAAGTCTTACTATCTGAATAAAACGTCTAAATGGGAGTTATAATATTTAATGGTGACAATGTTAACCTAGCCAAGGTAGGCAGTGATTGTAAACACAGTGTATTCTCATTATCACAGTAGGCACAGTAGTTGTTATTTAAGCGTAATCCTCAACACCAGAGTATAAAATATTAATAACGATTATCTCAAAATTGTAAAGAATGCTAAACCTAAAATGATTTGAACACATGCACATATCATAATGGTTTTGGGGAGAATTTTATTAATCACATACCAGCGTTACGTTTTTAAGATCTGAGATAAACTCAGGACTAGCGGGATTTAGTTTTAAATCCATGTTTCACTTTTTCACCCACGTTTCATTATAATGTTCTATTCACATTCCGATCAATTCAATCAACAATGACATTAACATCGTGTCAAAGACTGACATTAACTTGTCGTGCAAAAGTCATAGTCTATGGTTACCGCAGTAGGGATGACCGATTCGATAAAATTTCGGAGATAATCGGAGACATTTAATCGATACTTTTTTGTCTATGCCGACTCCTTCCTATCGATACTCTGAAAAATTTAACCATCATTATGAACGCAAACTAGATGACAACACTGACATTGACACATCGCTAACGTATAGACTGGCGAGATATTTGATCCGGTAGGCATAACTGAAACTAAATTGTGATAACACACTAGCGCCCTCACGGATTATCATTTTCCATGATTAGTAATAGTTTACATGTTTTTTAACAGAAACGACCGATAGTAAAAGAGAAAATGGGCATCATGTCATATCAGGAGGTCAAAAGGATAACACACACACAAGAGAGAGGACAAAAAAATTATAAAGAGAGAGAAAATCGGTTGTCACTTGTCGAAAAAATACATTCTTTTCTTACTTTATCGATCTTTCATATATTAACGCGAGTTTATACAAATAGTTACTTTCAGTATTACTCGCGATATTCTATTGGACAATCGAACCATTGGAACAATCGATGGTACAATGGACATAGAAATACTTTTACTCGCTAAAAATATATCTTCGTGGTTTTAGCAAGTCACCATCTATAATTTAATAATTACTAACAACATTTAGGAAGGCTTACTTTATACATTATTGACATTGTATTTTTTTGTAATACCATTAAATCGATTGCTAAAATCCACTGTCCAATTATACAAACACACTACCGCCATACTAAATCATCTAGTATCGGAAAGCCTCCAATAGAGTTTCCAATATGGCGAGACACGATTATCGATTATCGAGACGCCATGTTCTACACCTACACCAATCAGGTAACGGGCTTAATAAAGCTCTACATCAATATGGAGCACTATCTTGAATATAAATATGAATAACACAAATACGTTTAAGATTTTTTTGGTGATTTCAGATAAGGTTCAAACAGATTTTATACGAATTTTATAGCCAATTCTTGAGCTCTCTCGAAGACAATAATTGTTAGAAATAAATACATTTGGGGAAAAGTACACTTTTTTTCAAGAACAATATTGTAACAAATATATGATTAGAAATATTTTATAAAATTGTTCTGTAATATCTTATTTTAAAAATATACATTTTATTTTAGATTTCAGGGTACTAGAACACTAAATACTGAAAGTATTTAGCACAAAAGAAAGAAAAATATTATTGCAATCAACAGGTTTCCGAACAAAGGATGGTCTATGGCTTAAAGAGGTTTTAATCTTTGGTGGATCGGCTTAAGACATGCATGACATTTTATTTAAACCTGTGGGCCTGTCGAAATAAAAGAAATTATTGCAAAAACGGCAAAAATCCAAAAAAAATACTCACGGTGCCGTTTGCTGGAGCTCGATGACGATGTGATTTAGTACCTGTATTATCTATAAAGTGTTCGGTCTTGCGTCTGCGCGATGTGAAACTGGAAGTACGCAGCTGCAGTAGCAAAATGTTATATGAGTTAGCAAAGGATGGAGAATAGTGTATCGAGCGAATTCATTCGGGGTATGTTTAACGCCATCGATATTATATGTCTAGTCCAGGGCCGGACAGGATACGTGTAATATTTTATGTATTAATGATTATATTTTCGCTTATTGTGTTTTTTTAACCATCACATGCAACTGCTCTTATTTTCTCGGTTCTTCTATTTGAAATGACTTTAGAAGACCCATTTTACGTCGTCAAGGAGTAAGTGCAAAATTTTAGTTGTCTAGATGCGCAGTAGATGGATGTAACCATATACATATGACCTATATGATGAGTTAAATACAAGTTTGACGTAAAATCTATATAAGAAATGCCATTAGTGTGCGTGACGAAAATGTATACCAGTGCATATGAAATTACCCCAAATTGGGAAATGTAAATTTTATTGATGTAAAACACTGAAGTATCTCAAATATTAACTGTAACTGAAACTAGCAACAGTAACTTTTAACTATTGTCAGTTATTTAATTTAAGTATAAAATAAATGTAATTTTTTGGTAGTTTTAATATAGTCACATAAAACCACAAAAAATAGGTCACATATTAATAAAGTTACAAATTATCAATAAATATTGGTTAAACAGTGAGGTGTTCAAGGCACTAAACAAAACAAGGGGCCTTTATTTACGCTGGCAAGAGTTGTCAAAATCACCTCCAGTGCCCAATAGCCCGGAAGTTGAGTGGACCTCAACAGAGCTGAAGAATGCACTACGTAGTATTGAGTGGGATTTGGAGGACTTAGAAGACACAATTAATATCCTTTTCAAATATTTTCAACAAACACTGTGCCATACATGATTATATTTTCTGATTATATGTTAAATTTGTATCATATTTTAAAATTTATTTATTTATTTATTGTAATTAATTTATACAAATATTTATACAAAGAAAAAACAATAAGTACCCCTTTGGGAGCGCAATATAATGAGTACAAATGCAGCGGAACAAACATTTGGGAATAACAACATAAAGCACCTCATACCATATCACATTTTAACTTTGACATTTTTAACAAGCTCAATCTTAATTATAACATCCATGGTCAAGGGTTACACCTTAGTTTTAATGCCTAGAGTTAAAGAAATTGTGAATAGAGTAGAAAGCTTTATTTAGCAACCAGTTTTTTAGATTTAATTTGAAAACTTTACCATTCAACTCTTTTATCTTAATTGGTAAATGATTAAACACCCTTATAGCAGTAACATATGCACAAATTGGGATCTATATATTTTTTATAAAGTTATGACAATACAAAATTATGGTTCCATCTTAATATAATATTTCTTTATATTTAAATGTTTTAATTGCAGGCAACTAAAATGTTTAATGATTTTTTTAACATATAACACCCATATACTTTAATATGTTTTATTATTTAATAAATTCCTTAAATATTAATTATAAGTATAGTAGAAAAAAACTCATCAAAATTTAAGATTGATAACAAGGAGATTTGTGAACGAAGGGCATTTATTGAGGCTACAAAAAAAGAAGTAAAGGTAAGAACTATAATAATTTGTACATTTTAACTTTTTTGTTAACTCTACATTAATGGTGTTTATTAACTAGCTAGCAATGGAGTAATTAGAGACTGTGTTATAAAGTATTGTGTTGCTTTAGATCAATGTTTTACACTGTTTTGTAATATTCCAGATTATGAAAGGCAAGATGACTTCAAACAGAAAGAATGATATTGATGGGACAGCACGAGAGCCTCTACTGGGTGAGGAGAGCCCAATACATTTTGGTAATTTCTGGGCAACAACGCCTCAGAGTTCCAGATACTCGAGGTTAGCGAATCAGACTGACAGTCCGCCGCCATTTGATATGTACGAAAGTGATATAATGTCTCTGCAAGAGGAGATGTTAATGAATCAAGATAATCAGTTGAATGTTATCAGTAATTCTGCCGCTAATCTGAAGACAGTTTCAAAGCAAATTGGTAATGAACTGGACGAACAAGCTGTGTAAGTTATCTTTTTTCTTTACTAGCTTTTGCCCGAGACTTTGTCCTCATGAAATTAAAAGAAAACAATTAAATATATAGCCTATGTTTCAGATAAATTACCTTTTTAACGGTTGAAAGAATTTTTAAAATCGGTCTAGTAGTTTTTGAGCATAATCATTACAACTAAACAATCAAAGTTTTCCTCTTTATAATATTAGTATAGACTGATTGCAAAATCCATAGTTTCCAGGTGAATATAATACTAATATTATAAATGCGAAAGTTTAGATGGATGGATGTTTGAGAGTTTGTAGCCTAAATGGCTGAACGGATTTCAATAAAAATAGGTATAGATATAGAGTATAGTCTGGAAGTACATATAAGCTAATCACTTTTTTGTAATCCCACGCGGACGAAGTCGCCGGCGAAAGTTAGTATTTTCGTATAGATAAATATTTATGTTTTATTAAATTGTGTTCTATTATTTTTTAGTATGTTGGACGACATGAATACGGTACTCGAAAATTCCGGCTCCAGATTAGATTCTACTGTAAAGAAAGTTGCAAGAGTTATTCAAATGAATAATGGTAAGTACTTAATTTTACTTTACAACATATTAATATAGTTCAGTAGTCAGCAAATGAGGCTAATCACCAAGTAACTTCGCATTTATAATATTATACTATGATGAGCTGTTGCCCGCGACTTCGTACGCGTGGTATTAGAAAACATACAAACTATATAAATTATAAAAAGCTACGTATCCCTCTGGAACCGGACACCTCGGGGATGAAGCTTATCCCATGTATACTCCAGACTTTGTTTTATATCTGTGCCAAATTTCAATAAGATACGTTGAACCGTCGCAGAATGATCGAGTAAACATTAAAAAACTAAATTAATTAATTCCACGGGAACCGTAACTATTCCCGGGATAAAAAGTACCCTATGTGGTCTTCCAGACTATGCTCTAAACCTGTGCCAAATTCCATAGAGGTCCAGTCAGCCGTTTAGGCTACAAACGCTAACAAACATCCATCCATCCATCTAAACGTTCGCATTTATAATATTAGTAAGATTTGATCGTTGCTACTATACTTAATCTAACAAATTTAATAATGATTAATTTTATGTATTTCAGATCGACGTCAATGGCTGGTGATTCTGGTTTTAATTGGACTTCTGCTTCTTATTTTATTACTGTTTATTATTCTATAAGTAACTTCTATCTAGCATTACTCCAAACAGTATATTATCTTGCCCTTTTGTATTGTATCCATTTTGATTGTAGATTATTAGGTAAGTTTTATGTATCATGAGAGTATAATTTATTTTATTGTAACTGGTTTGAATATCGCCTTCTTTTTTGTAATGTATTTGTGTACCGTATAATTTTCTATCTCGAAAACATTCTTAGGAAAAAACCTTATATCCTACATTGTCTTATTTAAATTTGTTTGTTTTAATTGTTAAGGTCCTGTCCCACCAAATTATAGTCTGATAACAATCCAACATGTAAAATATGCGATTAAAATATCGAATTTTGTTCTCTTCTGACGTGACGTCATTTTTAAGCTATCTGAGCGTCTATCAGCCAGTGGGACAGGTCCTTAACTTCTTTCTTTATATATTTTTCCTTGAAATTAACTTCTTGTGCTCAATAGACGGTGTTTTTCTCCAATGGACTGCTAAAAATTGTTACTAAGCCATTCCAGATCTAGGTTGTTCAAAAATTTAAATGTTTTTAGCTTTATGAGTAATGTTTGAAGATAATATTAAAAGAAATGATTTGTGATAGACGCTAGAGGAGGCTGTACTTTGAAAAATGTTAACGTCAGTGCCTTTTTCGTTCGTGATCGTGAGTTTTCATTGCCGAAACATTTTCTTTAAACAGAATTTAGAATTTACTGTTACTGTACTGGGAATTCACGGTAATCTAGAATCGAATGGATTTTATACTTTTCCATATTTGTTATGTATTTGAGCTTTAATTTAGGGAAATCATTTTAATTAAGTTGCCGCTATTTTTTATATTATTTTTATTGGAATTATTTATTATGTAAAGTTTAACTGTTAAAGTAGGAAATGAAGCTAGTTCCTTTAAGTTAGATAAGACACGGTTGGTATTTAATAGTTTTTGTAGCCATTGGATATTATCAATGTTTGTAATATTGTAAATATCTTCAAGTCTGTCTTATCTTAGAGTACAGTTGAAAATTTATATTTTATCTTTTTTTCTAATTGTTATAAGTGATCCGTCACAAGATGCCTTAACATTGTGCTACTTGTGGATTCAGTAATACTAGATTGTCTTATACAGCTAAAGGAGCAAAAAAATACTAAAAAAAACGTCGAAAATACTATAGAAAATTAGACTTACAAAAGAAATATGTATTTTTGTAAGGTATCTTAATGTGGCCAAAAACGTTGACATATAATTTACTTTAATAAACATATTGTATAAGATTAGAACAGTTATAATATATAAATCGCTAGAGTCATATATATTTAGGTCAACGATATAATGCATAGAATATACGACAGCGAATACTAACTTGCATAAGAGCGTGTGGACACCTTTGACTAAACTATAGCACAACTGTTCAGTCATGTTTTGACTCCTATGAGCTTATATGAAGGTACACTACTCGATTTTTAGTTGTACAACTAAACAGTTGAATTTGCAGCGAAACAATCGATAATCGCACAACAGTTCTGAGATAGTTTAGTCAAAGGTGTGCGCCCGTAAATATAACAATCCGATAGTTGCTATGAACTGCGGCCATTTTTCCATTTAATTAGTCCGCCATCTTGTGTCATTGCGTAAGTTTGCTTACAAGATGGCAGACTGAAGAATTCCATTTACTATATCGAGAGTTGATATAAAATTAAACCTTTGAATCGTTTAGAACAATTGAGATAACCTGTTTTTGGAAGGGCGTTTCTGCACTAGATTTTTAATTATAGTGCTACTAATTTATACGTGATCTGTGTTACGAGAACCAAATTTTAGTGCTGCCAATTTAATCTTACTGAAATTACGAAAGTTTGAATAGATGGATGGTTTGTTAGAGTTTGTAGCTTAACAAGCTGAATTGATCTCGATAAAGTTTGGCAAGGATGTAGAGGATAGTCTGGAAGAACACATAGGCTATCAACTTTTGTCAGATCGCAGTCGAAAGGTAGTATGTAAAATATATCAAAACTGGATAAAAATTGACAGCTGTAGTTTGAAGTTCTCCATTTTACGGATAAATTGGTGACATTGAATGCAAAATGTTTCATATACAGAGGGATCCAAAAGGTAAATTAATATTATGGTGCAGTTTTATTAGTTGATGACTCGTTTGTTATTGTCGTTCGAGATATTTCATATTAACGCATGCGATAGCCCCCGCATGAAAGAGCCGTTTTCTTTAGTCTTAAACGTCTGCGTACGTTGGACGATATTCCTAGATTTTTCTTATGTCTCAATTGAGCAGCTGAGTCCCCGCTCGTTTTACATCGACCATATTCATTAGTCGTTATCCCGTATGCGGGGAATCTTCGCTTATGTAACGAGTTACCGACTAGTAAAATTGCGCCCTTAGGATGTTAGTTGTTTATTGTCAAATGTAGAAATATTTAGCAAGTGTTGAGCAAATATAGTTATTAAAATATAGCTTATATGTATTGAAACTCTGAGAAGTGATGGGCAATGATATGAATCCTTGGTGTAGTGTGCAGCTTTGGGATTTACCTAGTCTATGCACCATCTAGGTTCACCCGTTGACGGCGAAGCAACCGTGGCTAGGTTCGAAAATCGAAATATAAAAAATAGTTAAAATAGTTATTGTGACCTCGAAAAAAATGATAGTAATATGTTTTGTACGAATACGCAATGGAAATTCTACTTAAAGACTATATTTTAAGAATTATATAAATATACTTTTGTTTCATGTTTGATGTAAATTGTTTTGAACTCTTCTGAAAATATTTATTTTGTATAATAATGCACTAGTCAATAATTAAAAGAGATAATCAATAAAATTGTTTTATTTCCAATGTATTGAAGCTATGCGATTTTTTTATCTTTTCACTGTTCTTCTGAGCTGCCAGAGTTTTCTAATAGTCCGTCGTATAATCCTGTAACATAATCATACTCGTCTTTGACTTCTTGGTAGAAGGATTTCTTCATTGTCTCCCAATCCATGATGAATTCAGGAACGAAAAGGCTGAAAACATGACATTGGAATGAAATCATACTTAACATAAATGCGAAAGTTTAAATGGATGGATGTTTGTTAGAGTTTGTAGCCATAACGGCTCAATGGATTTCGTTGAAATTTGGTATAGATGTAGGATAGTCTGGAAGAATACATAGGCTACTCACTTTTGTTTGTTTTTATTCCACGCGAACGGAGTCGCGGGCGACAGCTAATATAAAGTAAATACCAAAAAATATATGTGTATCCAAAGAGTTCTTGTTTAAATTAAGCTTTAGCAATCACTGTGTTACGATGTAGTCTATTGATTAATAGTACAGATGCGGTAGTAAATAGGAATCCCGCCATTGGACTACTGTAAGTAGGCTAAGGCACAACGTGCAAGCTTATTTTAAAGGTTACATGAAAAATTTTAAGTCATCATCATCATCTCCCCTGCCTTATCCTACTCCCGTAGGGTCGGCGCACCGGGTTTTCGTCCTCCAAAGCATTTTATCATCCGTCATCTCAGTCATCACTCCCTTCTTGATCATGTCACCTTTCACGCAATCCATCCATCTCTTTCTAGGTCTACCTCTACCGATGTACCCCTCCACATTCATAACTAATATCCTTCTTGTCACATGCGATTCATCCCTTCTCATAACATGCCCATACCACTCTAACCTTTTAACATAATGAAAAATATTTATCTATACTAATATTATAAAGAGGAAAGATTTGTAATTTTCACGCGGCCAAAGATGCGAGCAACAGCTAGTAGTAAATAATAAAGAAACTTCTTTTCACCTTTGGACGCACTGCATGTAAGAGATAAGGGATTTACTCTTGAATATATGAATGAGGTTGCTAAAACCCGTGCAGTTCGACCACTGAGCATCCGGGGCCATCATCATTCCAACCACAGAGCCATGGCAGATCAGCGGCGATCCATACATACCCTAATAAAAAAAAGAAAGCAACACAAGACATTAAAAAAAAGAGAAAATGGAACAGCGTTCGCTTCATATTAGATTCGATATCGAGCATAGACGCTAAATTGCTCGCAAGAATTCACATCTCATACCAAAAGTTCGCTTCGGTTCTGTTTGGTTTCGCGCCATATGCAAGTAGCCTTAATATTGTAGAAAATTGACTATCAATTCGAAAGGTAACTCGATTGAACTTAATTGAATCTAAAATCTAAATTAACTAAAACAACATATATGTATGTATTTCTATACCAATATTATAAAGAAGAAAGATTTGTGTGTATGGAAATAACTTAAAAATTACCCGGCCGAATTCAAAATTTCTTTCACCGATAGAAAGGTAATTTACCCGTGAATATATAGGCTGTTTTTTGCCATTTCTTTTAATTTCACGCGGATGAAGTGGCGAGCAACAGCCAGTTACAGAATTTAAATTTATAAAAAGTTAGGTGAACTTACGTGACATGGTTGGGCGGTTCTTTCTGCCTGAAAGTTTATTATTTCATTAAAATAAATCAATAGACGACATATTTCATTACGTTGTTAGTTTTTTTACTTAGCAAAAAGCAAGCCTAATTATCTATCTGTTATTTAATCTTCGGTGTTACCACTGTGACTGATTTTTTTAACATTATCGTAATAAGAAAAACGAAGTAAATAAGAACAAACATGAGAAAAAGCATTCTTACATCCCTAATACATATCGAAGTGCTTTCATCAGAATAACCTATGAAACCAAGATTTACAAGTGCTGCGTGAAATCGCACTGACAACGGGTCGCACCATAAACGTTTCTTAGCAATATTTAGAAATTGCACTCGCATATTCCTTTGTAGTAGAAATTTCTTCTTTTGATATATAACATCCTGAAACAAACAAAACTTTATTAAAATATACAATATTTAGGTGTAGATATTATCATCCTGTATACGACTAACTATAAAAAACAAACGAAAGCTTCAAAAGATTTCTAAAAATATGAAAGATCAGGAATAGAAGTAAAAAAAACTATACAAACACAAGTGAGCTGGGCTCACCAGATGTTTGAGTCCAACGCAATTTTGCCACATGGCGAGAATCGTAATAAAATCGCTGTCATTTGTTTTCTATCGAAAGAACAGCAGTTTTTCGCTTGATACGATGACGAAATACAAAATGGATGCCGAATAGCAAGTAATTTCCAAGCTCAAGCATAAAGTGATAACAAATGCCGAATAGTGATTCCTATTTTTTAGATATTAAAATACTCAACCCCTTTGTTGAAGAAATGCCATCCGATCATAGCGCACTCGTCGTGTAGAACAAATTTGTCGTTTTCGAAATCAACAGGGATACCCCGCATTGGCACCTCGGCGACTACGTCTGGCACTGTTTGCTTTAGTAACATAATCGCTGGTGAACTTTGCATCAAATATCCACGATTCGATGTTACGTTGATCCCTAATAAAGTAAAACACATAACTTTTCCTATTCATACCACACTTGTACACCATAAGTTTGGTACGATCCATACAGAGGATCGTGAAGTGGGAGCAATTCCGCGTTTCGTCTGATGAGTGTTCATTCCGGAGGTCAAATTAAAGTCTTTTTCTCCCACCAGCATTATCTTATAAAAAAAGGACGAGAATGAAAAGTGAATTTGACGGTGTAGGAAACGCATTGCAAGAGGTAATATACTCTTTGTGTGCGTCGTCCTATCCGTCGATTGAGAGCAAGCAACGTATCTGCAACTTCGGATGTCTATAGACAGCGGTCGCTTCTTCATTTTGGCGGATTCAGTTGGCCGCTTGCTAGTTTACCTAATATTATGAAAATATCTTAGCGTATCATCAGCCTCTTAGTAACACGCTGATCGAGAGACATCGTATGTTAAAAAAATCTTAAACAGTGCCAACAATAAGCTAACATTGCATATCGGTTCTTTTTAATTTTTGACCGACTTTCCAAAATAAGGAGGTACTCAATTCGTCTGTGTTTTTTTGAGATTAAAATTCACACGTATTGTTTACAAGCACTTGTATTTTCATAACATCACATCACACACAACACTAATCGTTATATCGTTATACGATTTTCTCAGAACTTCTTGAAATGTCAAACAGTCTTACACTACTTTGTTAGTTTCCTAACTCGTTAATGAGAATTTTTAATGTAAACAGGTGTTGTGTTTGACGAATTGCTTTACCGAGAGTAAGTATTGATGATTCAACAAACCACTAGTGTCTCTCCCTAGTTTGGAGTGTTGGGATTTGTAAAGTAACTAATTGCAATCTGCGAAGGTAGTGCAAGCAAAGTCTAAAGGAACGCTTGTTAAAACGTAGTTGAACATTTCTCTTAGTTCTTTGGTTCGTAGACCACCTTTGTCTTCATTGGGTCTCATTCGAAGCGATCCATTGAAAAAATTTTCAAAGATGCCTTTTCATTGGAATGGAAAGAAGGGTTTTGTAAAAGGTATTGTTATAATTTGCACAATTTGATAACTAGTTTAAACAAAAATTATACGAATTTTAAATAATGTAATACGAAAATTTTTAAATATGCTGAATGTATTTTTGTATGTGAAAAATATCGAAATATTCCGACATTTCACTGACACTAAAGCTGGAAAGCAACTTTTTAAAATTTTTAATCAAGGAAATATGATTTGTAAGCTGTACTTTATGGCAGCTGCCGCTGAAATGTGCTCTCATTTACGGATTTTAATATCTGACGGTGCGAGATTAAAAATTTAATAAAACCTCTGCTCCCGTTAACGCACTCGTAGGTGCGATTTAACCTTTATAAATTTGCATGCAAAAAACGTTGAAAATAAAATCCGCTTCCAATATCAATGAAATGCAGATATGGTACAGTGCACGTGATCGGAACTTCATTTTGTTGGAAGCTATAACGTTTTTCATCGTTTTTTTATGGTGTTTAAATATCAGATTCTAATTATACTCATGTATAATCAATATATCAAGCATAGTTAAACAGGATAGGTACCAGAATCGTTGACAATTTGTTATTGATTCCTTTTATAACAAAAACCTCGACAAAGGTAACTAGATACAAATATCTCAGGATATAGTTACGTACTTACATTTTGGTATGATAATTTTTGTAACCTGTATCCGTATTCCTCGTCTTGGATGTCGATAGAATGTAGTCGCGACCACATTAATAGGTCTCGTGTCCTTCGTAACTGTTAGTGGATGGGTAACGCACACCGCTGCAGTTAACACCGCTGTTCTCGATACCAGAGTACCAACGCATATGCCACGATAACGTGATAAAAAATAAACCTATGGAATGCAAGATAGATAAATTCAAAAATGTTTACCATGAGCCATACAACCTTAAAACTAAATCCTAGACCGTATGCATCTCGTATCCCTTGTATTCTAGAACAGGGAGGACGTCAGCCATTGAGTCGAGGACAAACCACTAATAACGGTTTTTAATTTTTTTTTTAATTATCGATTAAGTAATTTACACCTCTAACAAGAATATTGAAAACTTGCCAACGTTTAAATAAAATAAATTGATCATAAATCTTTAAGGTTACAGAATGTTCTACATTTTCAAAGGATGTTTTGATTGCAGTATTACGGATGAGAATAGACTTCAAGGAAGTAGTTGAGCTGTCAGCTTTGATTAGACAATCAACACGACACTCTGCTAGCGAGCGACAATTTTATACCAACTAAAAGAAATTGCTCTGTTAAGGGGGATATAAAGACTGCGTAGAAAAGCTTACTATGTAACGACGATCAACGTAACGTAACAATCTTTATCAAATGTAATAGATCAATTTTACACTTATCTATTTCTGCTATCATTTACACAGAAACTGGCAACGCATCATTTTTAAACGAATACCAAAAAGGATTTTTTTTATATTATAAGCTTGGGAAAACAGCGAGCGGCTACCGAATCCGCTAAAATGGCAAAGCGATCTCTGCCCATACACATTCCCAATTGCAGATGTGTTGCCTACCCTTAATCGACGGAGAAGACGCACATAAAGAGGATATTTCCCCGTCCTAAGGGTTTACTCCACCATTGAATCCTTACCTTCCCATTCTTTCCTCAAATGTTCAAACGCCATTAACTTATTCGTGGAACACCGCCAGATTCCCCGATAGTACGTTGGTAATACCGGGCTCAGGTAATACCTATATCTATACTAATATTATAAAGAGGAAATATTGTGTTATTGTAATTTTTAAATATTTGGTTAACGTAAAAACTACTAGGCCGATATTAAGAATTCTTTCACCTTTAGATAGGTTATTTATCTGTGAGTAGCATAGGTTTATTACTAATGTTTAGGAACCATTAGTTTACAGCATATTGGACCCCGGTGTTAGATTTTCACTTATTTTCACCTTTTCTCGGCTTACGCTGGCTGAGCCGTTAGAGGTATATAAAATGATTTATGAAGGAATTGTAGAACTTACTATAAAAGGTACTGATTTCTCACGAGGTATGAATGGAGAGTCTCCTTTAGTTATTGTTGTATATACAACTGAAATAATAAAAAATAATTCATGACTTGAGTATATTTGAAATAAATATTCTTCAGCATACTTTTGTATTGAATAAAAAAAATATTGTAATAGAAGTGTCACATACCGCATAAGTTTAAAACGGTCCATATTTTCATGATGCCAGTTAAAACAAAGCATTTTTGTGTAAATGTAAACTATTGAAATTTAATTATTACATTTCAACGGATCGTTAATTTTGTTACCAATACAAAATTAGAAATACCAATAAACTTGATATGAAAAAATTGAAATAGTTAGTTAGTTACTAAGAATGTGCAGTTCTTTACTAATTTAATATTTACTTGATAAAATCGTAATTCGTCCTAATAATAAATGCAAAAGTTTAATAGATGGATATGTTTGTTAAAGCTTGTAGCCCAATCGGCTGAACGGATATTAATGAAATTTGGTACAAATGTAGAGGATAGTCTGGAAGAACACATTGGCAATTCACTCGCGAATGGAGTCGCAGGCGAAAACTAGTATCTTTATATTGTTCAGGCTGTTAGAATATTGATAGCATAGATGTAGAGGTGAATGAGAGCCGACATATACGAATTGCTTCAACCTGTCGATACTAGAGTTGTAACAGAAGTCCGCTTCCGCATCCGCAAGTGCGGAACTTCCGCAAGAAATGATAACTCCGCATCAATATCATCACCGATAAAAATGTCATCGACTTAACCACAATAGGAAACTTTACACTTATTTTCAGCTAATTTACTATTTTTATTCATTCTATTTTCGATTGCCTATATTTGTTACGAAGCACGATGCTCTCTCTGGCTATGCATGAAAAAAACATTTCACTATAATACAGAACGTGTAACATTTACATGTCTCTCATGAATAGGCCTTTGTTTAAAACTTTAACGAGAATTTTTTGCGACTCAACCTTCTAATTCCTTTGACAAAAAATTCCAAATTCCGTTGGCAGCTTTCATAAGAGCTAGGTACGAGCTTTGTGAAGTTACCTGTCACCCTGTCTCCCGTACACTTGACTCAACAGAACACGGGCGCATTTGTGTTTTCTTCGCTTTTCATACGGCGGAAGCTTTTGCATTTTCATGCTGGGAACGTTTCAAAGGTGAAAAGGGAATCCGGTTCAGATTGTAACTAAAGATAGCATTTTTATAAAAGAACCTTGATGAGTCATATTGACGATGGTGCTTTGAAATTATATAAGGGAAAATATGTATATCATTTTGCTTGTTATTATTGTGTGTTAAGATATTTAGAATTTAATTTGTTTCGGTTTATTTAATTTAAATTAAGTAATCTCATAAATTTATTACAGCAGTTTTAATTCGGAAACATCGGATAATATTTAATGTTAACTTGAAAAGTTTTTCTAAAAGACATTCGATTTAGTTAGCGTTCAAATATCAATATTTTAAAATCCGCTAAAGAAATAGGAAAGAAGCTGCACCCACTTTTAGTCATATTGCATTTCTATTTTGCCTTTTACAAAAATTTAATGTAAAATTCTACGAATCCAGAGTGCTCCGATGCTCTGTTGCGCTTATTACGTTCCTTTTATTTCTACGTTTCACAGACCTTGCTGGAAAATGAAAATGTATTCTCCATTTTGTTATTTGCAGTTGTTTTAAATCTAAGTTAAAATGCTGCTTAGTTTATTCTAGCGTTAAGAAATTCTGGAATAGAAAAGTTATTAAAATAATTGAACTTAAGATTGCTTTTTTTAATGGAATGTCTTAAATAGGTAATTTTATGAGTCCATAGTGATCAACTACATGATCCTTGAATGTAGGATAAGATTAATTGAAAATGCTATAGTTAATTACGAATCAGAGGCCTTCAAGAAAAGAGCGTACACCTCCCTTAAAGGCCGGCAGCGCATCTACAGTTCCCTTGGCGTTGCGGGAGTTCATGGGCGTCGGATCATTTATCATTAAACAATTCAATGCTCGTTTGCCCCCTTTTACTAGATAAAAAAAAAATATTCCTTGGATTTTTCAATTTAAAAAAAAAATTGCGACTTTGCTTATCAGACGAAACAGATAAATACTAAACAATACTTCATTCCTATATTGTTTATTCTGTAATCCAGTGCCAGCGAGGGAAGGGCGCGCGACTGAGGGGCAA